GTCAGTGAGACGCTGAGTGTTTACGCACGGCCTCGGAACGCGGTTGATGCTCCGTTAGAGCAGAGTCATTGGACAGCGGCGCCGCTCAGGCTCAACGGCCCGACATGAAACCGTCATGTCACACGGGCTTGGAAAACTTAGCGAAGATCCTCCGTGGAAACACTTGAGATTCAAAGATCAAGGCTTCAAGGCTCTGATCGTTTGAAATCGTCCAATAAAAACAGAAGAAGGACAAAGCAATTACCATCCTCTCTGTAATGAAGGCGAATCTGGCGTTTGGTTCTGAGCGTGGCGTGTTAAGAGTGAATTAGAATTAATGAGGCTGGTCAAAGTTTGTCTCTAATTGCCCTTTCATGAGGAGCCATTGGTAATCGTGCTTTAATGACTTCCATGCCTTCCTCTGGAAGAATCAAACAGGAGAAAAAGAAAAAAAAAAAACTCTCAAACCTGAAATTAATAATGCTGCCCTTAAGAGTTTCACTGGTATCATTAGGACCTGAGCGCCAAACCATTGAAGGAAACCATTGTTCAGACCCCCCCCCCCCACCCCCCCAGCCACTTTCATAATAAACGCACCGAGGGCCGTAACATGCTTGAGAAATCTGCCTTACGTTAAAAGTAATGGTGGATACTGTAACCATTAGTCAATAGTTTGGCTCAACAGCCCCCCCTGAAGTCCGACCCTAAGATCTGTCCTGTTGCCCAAAGACAGCCCTGGGAAGTCAGTCATCTTGGAGTCAAACTTTTGTTTTTATTGACTTTAGTGATACAGATTACAGCGCCTCCTATTGGTAACTGCAAAAGTCAACATGGCTTTTGCCATTGGAAAATACATCACAATGTCCTGTTTTTTTTCTTCAATAGGACGGTTAAAAAAACAAACTTGCCTCATAATAACCTTAAACTCTACAACGTTCAGAGCTCCAGTGTGACCTCAGATGAAACACAGACCAACACGTGCCGCGGCCGTTCGCTGCAGCCGCGGCCAATGTTTGACTAAAGCGAAGAACCATGACGGGACTGTTTAAAATCAGACGTCAGTGATTTCACTTTTGTTGTGTTTCTGCAGTGCCAAGGTAAAAACACACACAGTGTGTGTGTGTGTGTGTGTTGGTGTGTGTGTGTGCCCGTGCCTTCCAGCTGTGTTTTCTTTATTACAAGACAAGAATGCCCCTGCATATCCAGAAGAGCAGGGGCAATTTAGTCCCAGTGTAAACACAGAGGAGTCCCTACAGGAAACACTGGAGATGAATTGCAGGATGGAGTCTCTACCATTCACTTCACTCCCTCTCCTCCTCCTCCTCCTCCTCCTCCCTTTCTCCTTCACCCTCTGTTCTTTGCGACTGTATACATTCCCTCCAGTGACACCAGGCTGTTTGCCTTGCTAATGGAGAGCCTCGCTGGCGTAAAGGAGGTGGCAGACTTTATTTAGATAGCGCCGCGGTAAAGTAAACTTCAGAGTCAGATTTAAATAAACCACGGCGGAACTGTTTGCCATGTGGCAAAGACACGGGCCGCAGCGGGAGGAGGGAGTGAGGAGTAATGAAGTAGTGAGAAAAAGAAGAAAAAAAAGAAAAGTCCAGTCTGGACGCAGAGCTTCGCTGAGTGAGGAGCTCCAGAGACATAAACAAAACACGGGTCTGGGTAATTCAATGAGTAGTGGCGGATGTGGAGATGAAGAGGTGGAGTCTGTAAAAATGACTTCACACTTTGTAATCTCCACACTGAGCCCATGTTGCCCAACAGGACAGAGGTCAGCGTATAAAATTCCTGTGGTGGGAGCAGCGAATCAGCAGCGGCAGCAGCAACAACAACGTGAAGCCTCTGCTCCCATCAAGACTCAGAACTCAGAGCTGAAGGTTGAGCTCCGACTCCGACGGTCGACAGGCCGCGGAGAGTAAACAGAGTAGAGTCTGCTCTGGTTTAAAACCCAGACAATCTCTTCATCACAGAACCTCCTCTTCTTCACCTCTCATTCTCATCTGTCCCTTCCTTCCCTCTTTCCTTTTCTTTTCTTTTCTTTTCTTCTCTCAGCAGATCTGAAATCAGCCCAAAGTTTGCTGAGTTAAAACTGAGTCGTTAGGAAGAATCTATTAACAGAGTGGTCAGATTGTTTTTGGGGGGCAGGGGGCGCTGAGGAGCAGGAAGGGGCTTCTTACAACGTAGCTCTGTTTGAGTGTAAACATATCAAAGATTGAAGAACTTTTGAATGACTTCAGAGAGATTTAGTTTTCAACCAACTGTTGCTTTTGTGTGAGGTTCTCAACTGCAACGTTTCTACACAGAAAAACAACAATGTGTTCTTTAAAAAAAAAAAGAAAAAGAAAAAAAGAAATCAAGAACTAAAGGACATACATTACAATTTGAGAGAGTAAAACAAAAAAAGTAACTGAAAAAAAAGCTTCCTTCCTCAACACAAATCATCAACTTTACAATCACACATAAAACAATAAAACAAACAAACAAAAAAACCAACTTCTTTCCACCCCAAAACCAAACCCCAAACCCCAGCGAGCCGACCGATGGTGTCGACTCTCTGGTCCAAACAGAGCAGAGTGAGAGCAGCTGCTTTTCTGCCCTCACGGCTGATTGCCCTCAGCTGTGGTCAAACACAGGTGAACCAAACAACTGCTGATCAGCAGAGAGAGAAAACCTGGAGATTTGAAATAAAACCAGTCAAACACGCTAGTTTGACTGGTTTATCACGAAACTAAAAGTTGTTTAAACTCTACTTCTGGTCAGACAGTAAAGTACTGCAGTATTTGCAGCAGTACTATCACAGCTGATCCTGGTGTAAATATTATGTACTGATATATTGAAGCCAACAAAAACATATAAACACGATCAAGTTTATAAAACAATATTAACAGCATGAGAAATGCAGAATAATGTAAACGTAACATAGAGTCGGCAGCTAACTTGCTAATAGCTAACAAATAGGTTTAACATTTAGAAATATTTTTTCAGTTATCACGAAGAAATTAACATATAATTAAAATCATATATTTATATATTTATGTACATACTTGAATGAGCTAAAGGCTAAAATATATACCTGCAGTAGCTGCAACTGAATCATCTTTTAATTATTGTTCTAAAATGGACAATAATATAATAATTATAGTGTAGCATAGTGACTCGGGCTGCACAGTGGTGAAGTGGTTAGCGCCCTTGCCCTTACAGGACGATCTCTATTTTTGCTGGCGACCACCAGGGGTTGGACTGGGGGAAAAAAAAAACCCAAACCAAACTCCAGTCACGTTTTGTGCTGGTAGTTAAAAAACTCCAGTTCAGACTGGAATCTGACGTCAGATGCGCTGCTGTCATAACAGCAGTTCAGGCCTTGAAGGGCAATCCGGCGGTTCAACGTGTCAACATCAATTTGCCACTTATGAAGGAGTGCTACAACCTGTGAAGGACTGTGTAATTTTTACCCCGGAGCTGTGAAGCGAGCCTCCTAATGTCGCCGCGGACACTGAAGGTTTTTGACACTTGATCGACGCCATTGTTCTGTCGCTGAATGCGACACAAAATGAAGCAGAAAAAAAGTTCTTTTAATTGAAGCCACG